ATGTGACCTGCATGATCGCGTGTTCTCTGTGTGACGGTCGGTCCGTGCAAATTGAATGCTGACAGGAGGAGAGTTCTGCTTGACTGAAGATGCGCGATCGACAAACTTTAAACTAGTGATTTCAAATTATGCTGCGCTTTATGCATTTGCCCACTGTCATATTCATGTCATTTTCATTGCGTGCTGTATGTAAAATGAGTGTTACCTTGGCTTTATTTGAGAAAAAAAAAAAACAATGATTCCCAATGCACACAAACTTCCCAGAATACTGAGTGCCCTGTTCGTTACAGTGTTTACTTCCTTTTTAATGAGATTTTTATTAAATATTTATTTGTGAAAATGCTTTGTCTTCTAAAGTATAAGTATGTTTATTTTACACAATTAGTTTTAATCCATTTTCAAATGATTTCAAATTTCTTAAATATAAATAAAATTATATCTGCTTTATAAACCATATAAAACGCACCAAGGATTAATGAGCTACTGGATTGATGAATATTAATCAGGTTGTGTGCGTTCGCTCGAACTGATTTGCTGAAATCAAAACAGGGATGATAATAGGTGAGCGCCAGCCAATGAGAGTGCCGTTTGCGCATTAGTTCCGCCCACTACCGGAGAAAGCGGTAGTTCTTAAAAGCTGAAGAATTCCAAAGGAACTCAGTTATTTTGACAGCAAAATACAACAAAGAATATAGTTTACATGTAGCGCGTCAATTCTCTCTCTCTCCCTCTCTCGCTGCTTGTGTGTGAAACAAAGCGATGGCGAGTCGTGCACCTTCACAGTAGAGTTTACGGGACGTTAAATACAGGTGCGTTGCACATCCATTCAGATGAACTGAAAAACAGCACAGATCGCTTGACGGTGAGACGGAAATGTTACGCCCCTCACCATACTGTGATGCCCTGTCCGGCCGGAGCGACGAGACAAAAACATTAAAACCCATTATAAACGAGGCATTTGTTGCATCCAGTGGGGACATAATTATGGATTATAATGACTTATACTTTTATGCGTTGCGTTGCATCGCGCCGCGTAAACATAAAACCATGTCTGCATTTGAAATGACAAACAACAAGCCCTACTCTACACTGCCCAAAAAACTCGCTTTAAATATATAAAATATATAAAATATAAAAACTCTTTAAATATAAAAAATGTAGTTACAGTCTTTGAGTCAGAACAGCCGGCATTGTAGTCTACTCTA